CTGATCACTCTTCTCTGTTTGATTAATTTCTCATATTCAAACTAGGTTCTTCTAGTACAAAAAAAAGTTGAATGAGTCTAATCTCATCATAAGGTCAGTACCTAAGCCTTTCAGAATTGTAAACATCTTGTAAAGGATGAGGTAATGTTAAAAACATATTCATTTGGCCTTTAAAGATCATAGTAGATGATCGGGATCTCCCGAGGCCAGAGCCGAGGGTCGTATATCAGATCCGCCCACGCCAGGTCGGGGGAGAGAGCAGGAAGGCCCATCCCCCAACCGTCCGATTGGAGTTTCGAGAGGTGCGCGCGTGTCCAGGTGCCAGCATAGCCGGTGAGAGCCGGCTCCCACCCTCCTCTGCAGAAAGAGAGCAGGAGGTTCTGAGAAGTAAGTTAGCTCAGCGGCCACATGGGCCCCCTGGGGTGCATCTAACCCAGGGACCCGCATTCTCCGCTGCAGGAGCAGGGCAGCTCCGTTCCGCATTAGTCCGCGCATGCATTCGCTCACTCGTTAGGAATTTCAGAGCACCTGCTGTGTGCCGGCTCTGGGACAGGGTCAGGGACGTGGTCACACAGCTGGCAGCGGAGGGAAGCCTCGCCCCGGGGGCTTTCCGCGGGAAGGGTTTGGTTAAAGATTTAGATGGGACGGGAAACCTCGCACCCCCAAGCGCAGGCATTCCCAGGGGCTGCTCCCGAGCCCCACAGCACGGCCTGGAGTGCGGGCTTCAGTGTGCTGCACAGCAAGCTGGAGGCCGACTGGGGATCTGAACCCGAGCCCCTAGCTTCCTGGACTCGGAGCCCCCTCTCCCAAAGCGGGGGAGCACCGTGGAGAAGGAACGCCAGGCCTTGGCCCGAGGGCCCACCTCCCTTGAGCTGCAGGTCGCCAGGGAACCGGGGGAGATGGATGGATAAGGGCACAGCTTTGGGATATATGGGTCAGGGCCAGGTGTCTGGGAAATGTAAGTTGGAGCAGCAGCGGGCCGGCGACCTGTAGGCTTAGCCCCAGAAGTAGACGTCCGAGCACCGCTCAGCACCCCAGCCCCACCCCAGGCCAGATTGGGAAACAGATTCCTTGTGAGAATGAAGTAAGTAGTGAGCATTCAATAAAGGCTGGTTGTTCGTTTTATCATCATCATCATCATCATCATCATCATTTTAATTCGCCCTTCCCTTAAATGCTCTGAGAGGCATAAAGTGAGCCATCAGGAGTCAGAGCTTGACCAGGACAGAAATCTGGGTGGCTTCCTGGAGGAATAGGGTAGGCAGGCCTTTGGCTGCTACCGCGCAGTGAGTCTCCTTCTGCCCCCCACCCCTGCCTGCGACTCTGTCCCCATAACTGGGGAACTCTCCATGGTTCTGAAGCCGGCGCCCCGTGAAGGGAAGGTGTACATTGAGGGGGTGTGAACGGGGTGGGAGCCAGGGAAGGTGATATTGAGAGCGTCCCATCTCCTTTTTTCTACTCCTTTTTCTCCCCCTGCCCACCTCGCTTCTCTGGTGGCCAACCTCACTTAGGATCCAGCCTTCCGAGCCCAAAAGGGAGGCTTTAGGGCCACAGACTGAGAAGCCGGGGTCAATACTGGGAAACCCTGGTTTCCAACCAGGGCCCTTCGCCCTCTTGAGCCTCAGCTGCTCCATATGGGAAGTGCGGGTGACATTCTCCTCCAGGCCCCCTCCAGGCGCGGTGGAGTGTCCCGGAGGCCAGGGCGCTTTGTGCCGGGCGGGGAGCTGGCAGGAAGCGCATCCCTGGTGGAGCTGCGGTCAGTTTTACCTACGGCAGCATGGCCTCTGGGGCTCCGCCTGGGCCAGATCTCAGCCTGCTCCCCCCCCCCCCACACACACACCCTTTCTCCACGGCTCCTCCGGGACAGGGGGCAGGACAAAAGGCGGCGCCTCCAGCCAGCTGAGGGTTCTGGAGGTTCCAGACTATGAGTCCAGGGGGCCTCTGGGTCTCCCTGGGGGCAACCTTTTACTTTCTGCGGATCGAGCGGCCACGGAGCTCCGTTCGGGCGGGCCTCCTTCTCCTGCGCTTTGCAGAGGGTGCCAGCCCTCCCCCCACCCATCCAGCTCTTCCCTGGGGAGGGAGGAGGGGTTTCTGCGGCGCAGGCGCAGCATTTTCCGAGGCCCAAGGCTGAGCTACTGCGGGGCTTTGTACCGGGGAAGTCTGCTTGGGAGCAGCTGTCTGTTTGGCCAATCTCTGGCCGGTGCCCCTCCCCCGATACACACGTGGTCTTGTCCCTGCCCAGGCTGAGCCCTGGGGACGACCTCGTGCGTGGGTCCAAAGATTTAACTAAGCGGGGAGAGAGAATGGAGGTGTGTATGTGTGTGTAGGGGGGAGCGTGTCCTCACAGTGTCCCGTCATGGACAAGGCATCCACCCAGCTCAGGGCAGAGGCTGACTGGATGAGTGAGTGAGCTGGGCCGAGGTGTGCAGGAACCGGCTCCCAGGTTCTGCTCTGCTGCAGCTCGTGTGCATTGCACCTGAGATACTTGACCTCTGTAACCCTCAGCTCCCCACCTGCAGCGTGGGAAAGTGTGGCCTCGTGTTCCTGGAATGTGGAGCTACTTCTTCTGTGCAGAGCTCCAACCCACCTCCATTCGAAGGCCTAGGCACCTCTGGCCTCCTGTCCTGGACGGGGGTGGGGGGGTGGGGGGGGTGTAACGGTGAGGGCCTCAGCCCCAGCCTGCGTGTGGGAGCTTCACCACGCCTCTGGGTGACAACTGGAAAGTAAAGGAGACGGGTCATTGTACAGCCCCCACGGGCTGGGATTTTATAGGCAGAGAGCAGGTCAGCATTTTATTCTGTCCAGTGTTGTGGGGCCTGCTGGGGCTTTCTCCTTTCTCCTTCGTATCTTTTATTCCTCCCTTGTCATGAAGTCTATCCAGCTATGCCCTGGCCTCCTGCCTCCCTCCTTGGAGCAATTCTGAGTCCTGGGCTAATGTCCCCTCTCCCCCGGGAGTCAGGGGTCCTGTTCCTCCTCCTGCCTCCCGTCTGTTCAGGAAGCTGTGGGGACCTTGGCGCCAATGGTCTGGCCCTGGAAACAGTCCCTGTCCGGTCGGCAAGACTGTGGTGCCCTGATGGCCTGGCATTGACGCCTCAGCGGATGCGGGGGTGGAGCAGGGCAGCCATGAATTAGGACCCTGTCTCCTGGGTCCCTGCTGCCCCCTCTCCGAAGGCAGGAGGCCCCTGCTGAGGCCTCAGGCAGGCTGGTTCGGTGATGGGTGGCGAGGGTGATGGGAAGGAGCTTTACTGAGAAGCCTTGGGGATGAGTCTGGGAGGATGGGTAAGCTTTTGTCTCGAGCAGGCTATTCAGGGAGAGGGTACAGCTTGAAGAAAGGCTTGGAGTTGGAGATGGGAAAGTGCTGGGTCTATTCAGGGAATGGCTTGCGGACAAACGGGATCTGAGGGAGAGAGGCAGGAGGGGGCCGCCTCTGAGCCGGTTCTGGGGGCTTTGAAAGCTCCAGCAGCCTGGGCGGGTCCTGGGCACCAGCGCGCACACCCTCCCCCAAGCGGCTGTGGCGGGGAGGCCACCGTTGCGCGCTGCCTCTGCCGCCGCCCCGGCTCTGCCTGCGCATCGCAAGGCCGTCTCCTGCTTTAAAAAGAACCCTGCACACTGGCCCTTCCCCATCGCGAGAGCGAGGCCGCCGGTGCGCACCGGGCGGGGGTCCGCCAGCCGGCGCGATTTGGGGGGCGGGGGCGGAGTGGGGCGATCGGAAGGGAAGCGCTTCCCGGTTCCTGCCCGAGGGGCGAATAGGGCTCGGCTCCGCCGCCGGGAGGAGCTGTGTGTCTGCCGCGCCCTCCTCCCGCCCGCGTCCTCCCTCCTCCTCCCGCCCCCTCGCGGCGCCGGGCGGTGCTGGCAGCCGGAGCGGCGGTGCGCAGGCCGGGAGCCGGGCAGCGGTGCGTCAGCGGGCGCGAGCTCCGAGTCTCTGCGTCCTTCCCGGGCTTTGTCACCGCGCCCGTGGGGAGTGGGACCGAGAGAGAGCCTGACAGTGCGAAAAACAGCCCGCAGGTCCACCAGCGGGCCCAGGGCGCCACCGGGGCCATGTCTTACCAGGGCAAGAAGAGCATCCCGCACATCACGGTAAGCCGCCCGCCTGCCCGCCCCTTTGTGGGGTGGGGGTGGTCACCACCGGGCCGGATCCTCCTGGGAAAGTAGGGGCGGCCCCGAGGGTTTCTGCGACACAGCCACAGCGGTTGGGGCGGGGCGGGTCTCGCATTGCAGCCCCCTCCCCCCAGCCTCGGGGGACAATGGGTGGGGGAGCCCCCGCTCTGCGGGCAGGGCGGGGCTGGAGGCTAGGCTTGGGTCCCCAGGCCTGCAGCCCCCGCCTCCCCAGGGGATGTGCCAGAGGCTGGCGTGGCCTGGGAGGAAGGATGCTGAGCTGAACAAAAGAGGGAGGGGCTCAGGGTCCGAACCTCCACTCTGCCTGGAGCCCAGCCTCCCGCACCTCGGCCGGCACCGCCCAGCTCCTGCACCTCGCAGACGGGTTCCTTATAGCACAGAGGAAGGAAAAAGATCCAGGGCCGTCAGCTCCGCTCCCAGACCGTGGGGTGGAAGTCTGCACCTAGAGACGGCGCCATGACGGAGGGCCCCTCCCATTCCTCGCCATAGCTAAAACTCATGCACTGGGGGCTGTGGCCCTGGAAGGGTTACCGCGGGGGCGTGGGCGCCCAGCAGTCCCTGGGTCCCTGGGTCCCTGGGTGTGGCCGGAAACAAAGCATCCCACTTCTTTAAGCTTTGTCTCTGGGTGGGGCGCTGAGGGCTTTGCCCCATGGCCTGCCTGGTATCCGAGTGGAACCAGACCATTCCTGAGGGACGGGGGCCCTCGGGCCTGGGGTGGTGGATGCGGGAGCAGCTGGGTGCTGGGAGAGGGGCCTCTGGGCGTGAGGAATGCTCCAGGGTGATGCCCGAGGTTTGCGGACGGGAGACCCAGCATCCTCAGGGATCCAAAAGCCAGGCTCAGGGATGACCCCAGGGACCCTGCAGGGGGCCGCCTTGGGAGGAGGAGGCAGCTGGCATCCCCACTCGCCCGCCCGCCCGCCCGGCATATTGCAGACCTTGTTTTATTGAATCTTCCCCATAAGTCCTTTGAGGGGGGCGTTGTGCGCTGGCCGGGATGCAGGTGGAGGGAGGTTGGGAGGGACCTGGGCCCCCTGCTCCCCCAGAACAGCCCTGCATCCTACCCAACGATGGGCTGAATCTTCCCCGAGAAATCCCCTCCGACGGGCCGGCTGCAGGTGTAGCCAGCGGACCTGTGCTGCATTCCGTGCAGAGATGCAACTCCTGAGGGGGGGACCTCCACTTCCCCACCCTGAATCCCTGCCCTGGGACCCTGGGAGGCACAGTGACCGATGTCTTCCAGGTGTTGTTGGCTAAGAATCCATGGCAGGAGTGTGCTTGCTTCAGGCTGAGCCGAGTGGTAGGAAGGTCTGGGGTATTTGTATGAGCAGGTCCCTTTCTTGGGGCTTTCTAACCCTCCCCTCCAGGGGAACTGAGGAAGGTGATGGGGAGGGCGATGCAGTGACTGATAAGTTAGGAGCCCCGAGTCCCTTTGTGACTGTGGCCCATGCAGGTCTGTACCCCTCCCAGGACCCCAGTTTCCAAGAAGGAAGTTTAGCAGGATGGTCTTTGAGGTGGGCCAGGGGGAGTGGTGCCCCTGGGGGCGTACAGTTCTCAGTCTGCTCACAGCACTCGCCATGCCAGCCTTCCCACATGACGCTCTGGAGTGGAGATGGGGCAGCTTCTGCGCCAGGTGTCTGGGTGCATCCTGCTCAGTTGCCTCGCTGAGCCTCCAGCTCTGCTATCCAAAGTGGGTATCCCGCTGGCCACTTCCCAGGCCCCTTGAGCATCTAAGAGGACCCTGGCTGAGCGCCCAGTGCGTGTTAGCACATAGTAGGGGCTTCAGAACTGCTGGCTGGTCCTGCTGCTTTAGTCCTTCCTGTGACCCCTGTGTAAGGGACCCTAAGGGCTTCCGTAGCCTGGGGCGAGAGAGGAGATGCTGAGAATCACGCCTGGTTCCGAGGAAGCCGCCCTTGAGGAGGCATCTGTGTTCCATTGGGTCCTCAAGACCATCCCAGCCAGAGAGACGGTGGTTTAAAGGAGAAACAGTGAACCCCAGAGGGTGGCCTTGGCGGGAGCTCCTTTCCAGGCCACTCAGCTTCCCCGGGAGCAGGAGTGGTTAAGTGGGTGGGGCTGTGGCTTCCCCAGGGCGCACCCTCACTCTGGTCAATAGCTCTTGGTTGGTAATTACCAGAAATTACAGCACCTGGTCTGATGGGCGTGCTGGGGGCTAGGGAACGTGGGAAGGAGCCAGCCTGGCCCTTACCTTCCCAGAGTTTAGCAGACGCTGACATTTCAGCCTGAAATCACAACCGAGTGGAGGGGCTGTTGTAAGGGGGAGTATGGGAGGCTGGAGGGGACACGGCAGGGAGGAGCCCCCTCCCCTCGCCCCCCAGTGTGGCATGTTGGAGAGACTGAAGGAAGCCAGCAAAGCCAGCATCGTGGGAGCCCAGCCTCTGCTCCCCAGGCAGCTTCTCGCGCACTTAGAGCAAATCTTGGAAACAGTAAAACGCAGTTGGCAGGCAGGGTGTGTGCGGCCTTGGGGCCTGGAGGGGCTTCAGAAAGGACCAGCTACAGCTCGGAGGTGCGTCCTCACGTCACCCCTGCTTGATGGTGGGTCACTCTGTGCCCCTGTGAGCCTCAGTTTTCTCATCTGAACAATGGGGATAAGGTCCCCGCTTTGCCAATGAACGCAGAGCTAGGAGAGTGGACACTTGCACAGGCGGGCGCAGTGTGGACATAGGTAGGGACACGGCCGGGTTATGAAACGTTCTGCTCCTGTTGATTACGATCGTGGCGTCTTTTCCCTCTTTTTTTCCACCTCAGCCTTTTCCTGAGAAAACACAATAGCTTGAGAGAGAAGAGGGGGAAAGCAGAACCACTTAGCTTCAGCCCCCAAGGGTTGTTTAAAATATTCACGAGGCTCTGTTTCATGTGTGGCTTTTAAAAATTAATGACCAGCCGGGGATTAACTCAGCAGAAGCTGTTTCTCGCCCTGGGCGCCCAGTGCTGTGGTTAAGTGACGAGAAGGTCCTGGGCGTGGCTCTGGGCAAACAAAGGCACGTGGCCTCCTGGCCCTGCCGAGGCTCCTGGCCCTCACCGAGCCACTGAAGGGGGCCGCCTGCTCCTTGTGGGGGGAGACAGTGTCCGCCATGGTGGCTGAGCATTAATATTCAAAATATTACTTCCTGAGTCCTGATCATCCCCGCTTTTGCTGAGTATTCCAGCAGGAATCCAGCAGGAATTCCATGACCTCTCATTTGGTTTGCGGAGCTGTCCTGTGAGGGAAACAGCCTGGATGTGTCCTCCTTATGTTCCAAAGAGTAAACTGAGGCCCACAGAGACGTGGTGGCGTGTGCAGGCTCTTGCCGTGCCCTGCGGAGGCATGGAGAACTCAGAGTCAAGCAGGAGGGCCGACAGGCTGGTCTGCCAGCTCAGCAATCACTATCTGATTTGAAATCTCTGTGTGTGTTACAATGTGTTTCAGAGTGTATGTGTGTGTGTGTAATTGAGTGTGTGAGTGTAGATGAGTGTAGATGTGATACTGTATGGCAGGGGTCCTCAAACTTTTTAAACAGGGGCCAGTTCACTGTCCCTCAGACCGTTGGAGGGCCGGACTATAGTTTAAAAAAAAACTATGAACAAATTCCTATGCACACTGCACATATCTTATTTTGAAGTAAAAAGACAAAACGGGAACAAATACAATATTTGTATTTGCATGTGGCCCGTGGGCCATAGTTTGAGGACCCCTGCTGTATGGTGTGCAAAACAATCAGGAACGTTGAGCAGGGAAGAAAGAGATCAAGTGAGAGTCACATGGGACGGAAGTCGTTGCTTTAACGTGCAAATATGCAGAAACCGTGTGAGGCCTGTTGCGCTCCTGAGGGTAGCATTCAACCTGTCTATAAATATTCCGTTTATTTCCCTGCCCTTTTACACAAAGGATTTGAGATGCCTGTAGCAGTTTGTTACGCAGAGTGAAATGGGATGGAATGGGGGTGAGAGGTATGGGGCCAGAGATAGAGATTAGGGAGCCGGGTACAGAAGCCAGGAGAATGCAGGAGTCCCATCCCCAGGGCCCCGCCCACGTGCTGTGCACTGAAGCAGTCCTCCAGGGTGTGCTGCTACATGTGATCAGCATTTAAAATTAACGTTTGCTATGGCCAAGTGTACAAAGTGTTCTAGTCACACCTCTTGGCCGGAGCCCTGAGCACGCACAAGCAGAACGGTGTTGAATGGAGTCTCATTTTTGTGGGAGTAAAAGACAGGTCTCTCCCTGGGCGGGGACCTCAGAGGACTTGGCCCCTGGAGCGCAGAAAAAGCAGTGAGGGCAGTGGACAGCGCCTGGTGCTGAAGGGCAAGCAAGTGCAGTTAAGGAGCTTTTATTAAAAGCCCCTTGAGACAGACACGGCCCCATGTAGTAGGGCTGGTTGGTAACGATGGCTGACTTATTGGTGGTGGTGTTTAATGATGCTGCAAATTTTTACATCACAGTCACCCCCCGGCCCCCCATCTCCAGGAGATACGTCCCGGGACCCCCAGTGGGTGTCGGAAAGCACGGATAGTGCTGAGCCCCATGTAGACTGTGATTTTTCCGGTAGATGCACACACTCACCGGTCCTCTCTGGTGTGTCCTCATTGCCGGCCTCCCCACTCCTGCACTTCGGGGTCGTTGTTAGTTAAATGAGGGCGACTTGGACACAGCGCTGCGATGCTGCCATCTGGTAACGGAGGCAGCTACTGAGGAGCTGACAGGCGGGTCGTGCATGCGGTGTGGGTGGACACGCTGGACAAGGACGATTGGCGTTCCAGGTGGGATGGAGCGGGATTTCAGCACGCTGCTCGGAAGGGCGCACAGTTGAAAACATAGGCGTTGTTTACGTATTTCTAAAATTTTCCGTTTAATACTTTTGGACCGCAGTTGGCCACAGGTAACTGACACCTCGGAAAGTGCAACCATGACTAAGGGGACTGTATTTGTAAGTATGACCTGAACAGAGAAAGGTTGAGAGTCACTGCCT